TTTTGACATATTTTAACAGCATTTTAACAGCATTTTAACTTTAAAATACGTTTATGAATAGAGTTTTATAAATGCTTTATAACACTGTTAAATAACGTTTATGAATAACATTTTTGATAAAATGTATTACAAACCTACTATAACTTTTTATGAATAAGGCCGTATAAATATAAATAAGCACACAAGAAAGCCTTGTAATAACGTTTTAGAATATAATAAGTTCAACTTCTTATCTTAAGATAAGCACACTCTTGTTTAAAATGAGGGATATGAACCCGATTTATAGTGTGATTGAATGGAATCTTTATGGCTCTGAATCAGATAACTGTAAAGGATCGTAATTTGAACACTAAAATAAACTTACTCATACTTTCCAAACATGTTATTATAATTGATTGCGTTAATAAGGGACGGGTGCCGGTAAATCGAAAACAAAAGACTGCGAACAATTTCTTCTTATGAATACTCATAAACACTCACTATTTACTATTCTTATCCTTTATATGCAAAACCATTATTGGGCGTCTGTGATTGTGTTCTCGGCTTAAACTTCTTACAATGTTACGCAGACAGTCATCGTCACGTCACGTTGTTTTCTCAATGTAAATAAAAATTTGAGAATGATAGCAAGAGAAAAATTTTGATTTAACTGTGGTCATACAGTTTCTAAGCGTTAGCCAAAACGCCATAACTCACTTTTAGAAGTATTTTAGCAGCAAATATATGTATTTTTAGTGGATATAAAGTCAGATTAAAGTCAGATTAAGGACGTGTGCGAGTTAGGCTAAGTTGATGCTAAACCAAATGGGAGATTTTTTGGGATTTTTTGCACTGCACACATTTTGCCATTTATGAACACGTATCGACACATCACTACATTATCGGCACAACTTAGTATTTCCCTCATTTAGAACGCAACTTAGCCTAACTCGCACACGACCTAAATATGTATAAGCAAAATGCATTCAATACTTAATTATGACGTGTGTTGCTTAACCATTGTAGTTCTCAGCTTGCAAATAGTTCCGACTTGGGCAACACTGAACTGTACCATTTCCGGATTTAATGCAGTTCACAGTCGATGTTCCCCCAAATTTTTTTGTTGACTTCGCAACATAAAACTATAGAAAAGCAAAAATGTATGTTTATAAATATTCTCCGTGTGTGGTTTTGAAGTTATATATATATATCCATATGCCATTTAGTAATCATCTCACATGTGCCTTATTGAAGGTCACCATAATTATATTTTCCAATGAAACGACTAACTACTTGAGCGTTATATTTGATAAAACATTCATTTGGAATACTCATCTTGTAAACGCTTCCACAAAAGCAACAAAGATATTCTTTATCTATACAAGTTTTTTTTTGGTGAGCCATATGGTTTACATCCCAAAATGATCTATTAGACATTCAATTCTATAGTAAGATCGTTAAATGACAATATATATTCCAAAAATCAATTTCACAAGGCAATAATTTTTGAATCAGAAACAACTACTATTGAAAAATGTGCTAGTGAAAGTATTAGTAGGAAGATGAAAGGGATCTATATTTACAAACCATTAGATAGTCAAGCTGAATTAAAAACCATATATAATAACAATAACATAATAATAAAAATAATATAATCTACAAATCAAAAACCCTTCAGGCTGTAACGAATCATTAATCATACTGTAGTATTATAATGGATCCTAGACGATAAAAAAAAGGAAACGCTGATTTGTTGGTCAAAACAATGTCAAATATGCCATTAATGGCTCTCAGCCTCTCTATCGACTCACAAAAAGCCAATTGAACGAGATCATCAGTAAATGGGAGTAAAAGAAATTCGCAGACCATTCGCTTAATAATGTAGGACAATATTTAACAAAATGATATTACCAGCGAAAGGAATATAAAGTAAGTAGTTGTCGCTAAGCACGGCTGATTAAGGACTTTGTCTGGTTACTTCACAGCTCACTGCAATCTGTGGTACCACTTAAATAAATTGAGGTCTCCGACACTGATGTCTGTCGGTTTTGTAAATTATACATTGTGACCGAAAAGTTTTCGGAGGTTCTCATTTAAAATTCGCGCGCTGTATATTTTTCGATATTTTAAGTTTATGTAGTTTGGCAGCAATTAAGGACAATTACTATGCCAAAAATGAGCGCGATCTGTCAGACAGTTCGTTTACGGCAGCTGTTTAAACCAGTTCACCTCAGTAGTGCGTTGCGAAAAAAACAATGGAAAAAAATATTGAACAAAGAGTTTGCATCAAATTTTGTGTTTCGAACGAAATTTCGTGTGCAGAATCTTTGCGAATGCTACAAAAGGCTTATGGGGAATCAGTTTTATCGAAAACTCAAGTTTATGAGTGGTACAAAGCCTTTCAGGACGGTCGTACGACCGTCGAAGACATGCCGCGTTCTGGACGACCTTCGACCTCTACCACCGACGAAAACATTGAAAAGGCAAAGGAAATCGTGTTCAAAAATCCTCATGTGAGTGTTAGAGAGATAGCACGAGAGCTAGGCATCGGTCGTGAGATGGCTCGTTTGATTTTGGTGGAAAATTTGTGTATGCGACGTGTCAACGCCCGGCTTGTTCCGATTCACCTCAATTTGTTCAACATTATCAACGATTTTAAGGCCAAACATTCAATAAATACCATCGAACAGCCACCGTATTCACCTGATCTTGCACCGTGTGACTTTTTCCTGTTTCCCAACCTCAAATTACCACTCAGAGGAACGCGTTTTGAATCCATAGAAGACGTAAAACAGAATTCGCAGAGGGAACTCAAAGCC